CCTTAATCGATACCCTGCCGTCAGTCTTGGCCTCAACCTGTGATCGCCAACTGTACAAAACACTGTTCTTCTTTTCTTTCTACTCCTTCGCCCGAGTAAGTGAAGTCACCGTCATCAGTTCTTCTAACCACACCTTGCAGCTCCCACATGTGAAAGTCCAGACGGCCCCTGTCCCCTCTCTATCCGTGACCTTCCACACCTACAAGCACAGTGCTCCGGGCCACCATCCGACAATCTCTATTGCAGCGCACCCCGACAGCTCCTACTGCCCAGTAGCTTATTTTAATCAGTATCTCACACTGCGAGGAAAGTGTGCGGGATGCCTCTTTCTGTACCGCAGTGTCCGCCCAGTCTCCAGCGACTATTTCTCACATATCCTACGCACATGCGTTCAGCATGCGCACTTGGACCCGCGCGCTTATACAGCTCACTCCTTTCGTATAGGAGCAGCTACTTATGCTGCCCAAACCGGCGTATCAGACCCCCAACTGCGCGCCTTGGGGAGATGGTCTTCAGGAGCCTACAAGAAATACATTCGGCCATAACACTATTTGCTCTCTGTAAAATAGTTTTAGTTACATTGTCAAGTCGAAGCCCGCAGCGGACGGAATGGTGAGCGGGATGCCTCCTTTCCTCTCTGCTTCGGATATCTGTTAGATCCATTAACTAATTTCGGTTACCTTGTTAAGTCCAAGCCCGCAGCTGAAGGATTGGTGAGCGGGTTGCCTCCTTTCCCTTCAGTTGCGACTGTCTATTAGGTACTATTTGTGACTAGTATATTGTCCTAAGGACCTCCTATTTGTTATCTTGCTTGTAATTAAGTCAGGTGCGCAACTGATGGAATTGTGAACGGGTTACCCCCTTCCCTCTGTCAGTAGGCATCTTATGTTAATCGTACTATTAATACGTCGAGCCGACAGCCAAAGAACTGGTGAGCAAGTTGCCCCCTTTCCTCTCAGCTTCGGCTTACTGTAGGCACTCCATTTACTAGTATATATTACCTTTGTCTGTTTAATCTTTGGCTAATAATTATTATACAGTAACTCTGCCTTATTTATAACATCTACAAGTTATACAGGATGCTATACAAGACGTGCAGGTCGTCTTCTACGACAACATTTTGAACTACCTCTTTCTAAGTGAGTAAACACTTAACCTGCCGTTTGCAGCATTGGGAAAATCTTACCTCCCCCCTCTCACAATTCCCATTTTGGCCCCGGGCGGTGGAGAGTTAGGGTTGGGGTAGCCGGCGTCGCGGCACGTAATTTACCCATTGACTAATCCTGTGAGCTAAAAGATCTGCCACGTCAAGTTATGCATGTACAACTTTCTGCCAAACGTCCTTTATTGGATTCTGTATTATCTAGTATAGGTCTAGTTCCACTTTGTGAAATAAGCCAATTATTATCGCCATATAGTCAATACCTACTTTCTGTTTTGGTTCTTCCTTACTATGGCTAATATTATGTGGTTCAGTGGTTTTTCCTAATTTTTCTGTAATCCGCAACGATAATTTTCCCCATATTCTTCATACTCCCTGTACTAACTTAAGCGTAAAGTCCATTTCCCTGATCGTTCAAGTTCAAGGTCAAGTTTATGACCTAGGTCAAGTTCAAGGTCATGTTTATATGTCTCATTTGTTATGAAATTAAACAGTTGTGTTCCTGCCAAACTTACCCCTCCGCATTGTCATTGGTTCCTCGTATTGTTATTCAGCAAGGAAATCCGCATAGTATAAAAACTGTTTTTGGCATGCATGGCAAAAATGATATAATTCAGGAAAATGAGGATCCTATCTGTTAAATCAGGAGGAATAATCTATAATTTGCCAGTCATAAACTTAAGATTAACAACGTTTGGCGAAGGTATGAGATGAGGGAACTCTAGATAGATCAGGGAACTCTAGATAGAATAATTGACCTCTTGACCGTTACATTTTTCAAGAGGAAGTGAGCTTTTAGAGTACACCCCTTCAAGAAAAATCGATTGACCGACCAAATGACTGCTTCTAACTAGTCAGGATATATGTTATCTTTTACAGTCTCGGCGCTTTTTTTATTCCAACATGTCATCATCAGACGTGGTGTCGGCACACTCAAGTTTTTTTTTTTCAACTTATATTAATGCCGCCACCAACACAGGGGACAAATCACCACAAATATATGACAAGACAGTACACATTTTCACCTGAGTGAATGTAGGAAAGTCGTGTAAATTGCCTTTCCCAAGGGCACAGGATCGGTGGCATGTCAGGACTCGAACCCGGGACCCCTAGGTTCCGAGTCGCACACTCTGTAGCTGCGCCACACGATCCCATGGTACTTTGTACTTGTGTACTTTGTCGAACAACTGTTGGGTGGCGCTTTTACCGAATGGGCAGTTTTTATCACATGCCACCTTTACACACACCATTTCTAAGTTGACTCGGCGAAGTCGACTTGAAAAATTTGTGTTCACACACGGGGCTGCTAAGCGACTTGGTACTCCCGCTGTGCCACCCTCCCCTCAAGTCAACTCGTGGCTCGGTCTTGCCTGACTACTACGCAGAGACGATCAAGTCGACTTCGCCCGTTTACACACGCGAAGCTAGCAGACTCAGCACCCCGCTGCCCGACTTAAGTCTGGTTTGGATACGACTCAAGTTGTCTTCATTAGAATGCGACTTGAGTTGATTTTTTTTCTTTTAACACAGGGAAATTTTCGCTCAAGTTGACTAGCTCAAGTCGTCTTGAGCTCTAGCTGACTCGAAAAAGCAGGCCAATGGCCCGCTTTACACACGCCATTTCTAAGTTGACTCGGTGAAGTTGACTTGAAAAATTTCTGTTTACACACGGGGCTACAAAGCGACTTGGCACTCCCGCTGTGCCACCCTGCCCCCAAATCGACTCGGTGGCTGGGTCTTGCCTGACTACTACGCAGAGACACTCAAGTCGACTTCGCCCGTTTACACTCGCAAAGCTATGAGACTCGGCACCCCACTGGTCGACTTAAGTCTGGTGTGGATACGACTCAAGTCATCTTTATTAGAATGCGACTTGAGTTGAATTATTTCTCTTTACACAGGGAAATTTTTGCTCAAGTCGACTAGCTCAAGTCGTCTTGACTTCTAGTCGCCTTGAAAAAATTATGTGTAAAGCATGCCAATGTCTCCATTCCCACTAAGATAGAATTGTCTGGATCAAGCCGAATTGATTCGCCTAGATTTGGCTTTGATTCGGTTCGATCCGGGTCGATGCCGGATCAAAGCGAATCAATGGACCTTTCCGGATCCAACGCATCGGACCCCCCTGTTCTTTTCGAACATCAGCGCGGGAAATCTAAGAGCAGCAAAATGAGTTTATGTCTACTTGATAAAATCTCCTTGTTTTACCGGTGAAATTGAATTTATGACATAGGAGGCGATTTCAAGTTAACCAAAGACGTTTTGTCATTCTTGTATTTGTTTATGAAGCCACCATTTTTGTTTATGGCCATGTTTGCGTCCTCATGTTTCTACTTGTATCACAAAGGCCTTTATAAGTTGCGCCTTTCCTCGTGACCACGAGTCACGAGGAAGAACCAACCTAGAAAGCGTATGCGTGGTCCAGTATTTTAACACACGTAAGACTTTTGTTGTTGTCAATATTTATTCCAGATATTTTTTCTGATAGCATTTGAAGTAAATATGTCAACATGTTATTTAAAAAAAAGAACTCAAAACTTCTGACCATAGACAAATTTGCCTTTGGGCAGCCACATCTATGACAAAGGTCATAGATTTGGCTGCCTGTATGACTTGCTTTTTTGTACCTCTCCTTCACAGGATCGCTTAGGTATATACTGGATAATGTCTGTTTCATAGTTTTTTTTTGTATAGTGCATATTGTAAGTAGGGCGCAATTTAGGCTAACCAGGCCTGCGAGTCCTTTCCCAATAAACTTGAACTTTAACTGAAGGTATCTTGTTTGAGGTGCATAGATTATGATAATGAGCAGAAATGTTTCACATCTAATCATGTCAAATTGTCCCTAATAAATTAATGAAACTATACATACTAAAAAAAGAGTCACAAAATAACTATATTCGTGCAATACATTATGGTGTCCGTTTTGAACCCATATGATAAGATTAGTCGCAAAAAACTACAGTGGTTTGAGGTATAATAGATCGTTGACTTGGAATTAAGTCACCTCAAGCTCTGGAAGAAAAATACTGCAATGTATTGCTGTTTTTTTCGGTTAATTTTCTTTTAGCGTTTACTAATACTAGTAACCTCCATGGTGTCGTTGCGCGCCCGCGAAAGTACGGCTATCTATTACACTTACATCTGGGTCTAAAACAAGACGCAAGTTTACTGATGGGATAAAATGTTGCCATAAAAGCGCTTCTCTCACTATTGCTTTGTCATTGACGTGGTACGGCCTTTTGCCACTTGGCATGGGTAATGCACCCCTAATTCAACTACAATAACATCGCTCTTAGCAACGAGTGAGTGAGACTTGAGTGACACGTGGACATATCCGCCAAATGAATAGACTCTTTAAACTGGCTTTCATCCCAGGAAATTTGTACATACTAGATGTGATACTGTTGCTGCCGAAACATTAGAATAAGTTGAGAGAAACTGACATCACTTTGCAATATAGTGATCAACCTATCACACAGTTACAGTATGTGAAAAAAAAATCATGGCAAACCATGTAAAAAACATGAATGGATGAAAAAAAGAAACCTATATAAGCACATATTTTTCATTGTGTAGTAAACCAAATTTTGGGAACTTTACATAACAACAAAAATGAAAAGAGCATATGAATTATTATTTTAATTCGGTTGTTTTACTTCATTCTAAAGCAGTTACAAAATGGAGTTAAAGGCTAAATATCCTGAATATCAAAATAAATGGTCACTTGGGGGACCCAGTTGTACAGTTTTCATTTGTGTGTCTGTGTTACCATATGTAAATTGAAGATCTTTTATCTAGAACAAAACGTTATCATAACAAAGAGTTAAAGAAATACCTCGATCTTTGGAAAATAGTTGTCTGGTGTTTTCTTCTGAGACATTGGTTGTTTTTTACTACTAGGTTTCTCTCCTCCATCTTCCATTCCAATCCTTATGTAGCACGCAGATAAGCCAGCATCGCGATGTATTGAAATCTCCTGCAAAAATTTAAAACGAGAAAAAATTTTTACTAGTTAGGTTTTTAACCTCTGGAATATATACAACGTGCAATTACCGCATCAACTGCCTAAAATTTTAGATATCGCACTAACAGCAAAGTTAACAGTGGCACTACAAGAAAAAGATGATCACAATTATAATGCACACATCTCCGCATCCTTTACTAGAACGACTACACTGACTACACTACAATAACCCGAAGCGTTCTTTTTCATTTTCACAAGTCCTTTGGCTCCCGTTCCTCTTAGTGGTGCTCTCAAGGCGCTCTCTCTGCGATCTAAAATTGGCCAAAGCGCGGAGAGAGTGCCGAACTCCACGAAACGACCTTTCTGCGCTCTCTGCGCGACCAAAACCTCAAGTGTCAGCAACGTATATGGGCGACCGATGATTTCACAGCTCACTGAACGAATTGCAGAAATAGAGATAGAAATTCTGTACGTTTCGTATGCTTCACAACATTTGTGTGATAGTAATAATCTATAAAATCCCATGTCAATCTCCTGTTAGAGTGGACGGATTTTCTCAATTTAAAGGACATTATTTTGCCTATACTGTGAAATATTTATGCCCCCTCTATCCATTAACGGACACGTGCTTGGGGATAAAGTCACATCAATTTATCATGTCAAAATGTAATATATATATTTTTTTCTAATTTGTGTTCTTACTGGCATTGCATAAATGTCACTTTTTGCTCCCTGTCAGATACCTTCCCATCTTTTTACATGATGTAGTCAACGGCATTTCATATAACATTGACATAGAGGCACATTTTATAAATATTGATTTTTTAAAACATTATTTCATTTTGAGTACGTTTCACATAGAAATAATATAGATTTAGGAGCTGAAAAATCTGCGGACGGTCAGAGCATTTGTACATAATTGATGCGCCGTCAACATCACAATTGAAAAAAAGGTCAGATTTCACGTTCACGAAAATGTGTGCAAAATGGCCTTATCTTGCTGAGCCATAAGGCCTTTCACAATGTGTCGCATGTTTTGCTGAAAATTTACATATTTTTACATTTATGCCCTGGTAGTGTCATTTCGCACATTTTTCACAGAAAGAAAGGGGGATGTTTTTATAACCCCTCAAATTTGCAACTATTTGTACATGTTGCAAGTCGACATAAGCATTCGCCATGTATAGAAGAACAACGACAATGGTTATGATTATCGTTAGGCACTTCTTAAGTAGTACTAGCTGTTGCATCGCTATACGTTTATAATTGAACAGATACCAACACATTACCTGTAAGATGACTTCCTGGCGTGTAATTGAGACGACAGCAGTGCTGATGCAGGCCAGAATGACAAGCTGGAGGAGCCCTTTAGTCGCCATCTTTGCCATTCCCCGTTAACGTCTGTTACCTCTGAGAAGGCTGTTCTCATTAAATCCATTTCGCAATGCCCTACATGACCCAGGCTGTCATGTGGCAGTGATATACAAACATTTCATTTGCCTGCCTGTTATAGGCTAACAATATTGATATGTTAATTGGGCCTCATTATATATTCAAATTTGTTCAAGGTTTAAAGTTTTGTTAGGGTTATCTAATGAACTTTGGACAAACCTGTGGTGGAAAAGATTGCAACAGATATCCTGCGTAGGCCGGCCTTACAGCAACATCAGAGTATTTGAGTATTTGTTAGGGCGTATGTGCACCTGATTTGGCCAAATACCTGTCGTTTTACTTCGCTGCGTCGTTAATATCTTTTTATAGTTAAAGATTTACTCGTTTTTATAATGGGCAATACTGTATTGGTTTTGTAACTATCATTAGCTACTAAACAGCATCGTGTAAGATGAAAGGACTCGTGCTTTTCGAAGTTTTGGTAATTGGACTCTTCGCGTCGCTGTCTGTTGTCAGGTAAGAGGAGCTAAAATTTATAATATCTAAAATTCACAATGCGTGAGCTTCATTCCTTATGGCTTGAAAAACCATGCATTTTAATAGAGGTGCCTGATTGATCCCATGCGTATAAAACCATGTCCAACTTCATTTTGTATGTAATAATATAAATTTCATGCAATCTCCATAGCATAGGAATGCAATTTGAACGTTGTAAATATATTCTTTGCAGCTCATCCTGGTGCACAAGGAATGAAGCCGTCTCGGTGTTAGCAGTTCTGACTTACTACACTAAGTGTGGTGTCTGGAACTGGAGTTGGTGTACACGATACAAGTAATACAACATTTTTTTTTCTGCCTTTGTCTTTAAAATGTTCGGTTTTTTGTCCTGTTTTAACGTATTTTTTTTATAAAGTGACATTTACACTGTAAAAGAACTGCACTAGCACTTGTTAAAATATCTTTAAATTCGTATTTTTAAAGTTAAAAAAGGTCCATTAACAACAACCCACATTGATGCCAACCACATACCACACTATCACTTTGTCTCTATGTTAGGCATGTATACCTACGGCAGTACAGAGTAAGATATGAATGCTGTCGTGGCTGGGCCGGGTCGTACTGTAACCAAGGTAGCTACAAACATGTTTTTTAAAAAGCTAAAAGGTATTAAGATATACCAATTTTTGAAGTTCTATGTTTTTACAATGTCAATATCAGTAAAAAAAAGTTGTATTACAAATGATGTCATGTACGATGCTTTTCATTCTGTTGGACAAAGATAAGCAGTTCAAATGCTGTGCTCTTTGAAACACATGTATATACTGTCTATAAAATGTGTTTTATAGTATGCATTTACTAGTTTTTTTTTAATTTGTTATTATGTTGATCATGTAATATAGATATAGATTTGTTATCATGTTGATCATGTAATATAGATTGCTTAAAATACGCAATTCAGCATCTTTGTATACAAATAAAGATGCCATGTATTTTACTGAAATATAAACGAAGTCAAATAAACTCAATATATATAAAATAAACTTACGTATATTGTTCCATTTAGCGATTTGCAGCCAAGGATGTAGAAACGGCGGAAGGTGTATAATGCCGAATGTCTGCAGCTGTCGACCAGGATATAACCCCCCTCGTTGTGACCGTATGTGTGTTAAGTTATAATGTGCATGTGGTAATGTTTTACGCAAAATATGTCATTTCATATCAATATGCTTATCACATTAAGGCCAATACAAACACAAATGTCGAAATTTAAAACAGCTAAAAGAAAAAAAAAATCTTAATATGTCATTTATAACTTTTTTTTGCATTCCTTTAGATACCTTTTAAATTTGATGTCAACTGGCATAATGCCGCCAAGTACAATTAGATAGATTAAAATAACGTAAAATTCAAAGGATTCTAAACCTGAATACTAGTAGATAAAGTTAGATGCAGACTTTCGGCGTGTTAATTTCAATTCAACATATTTGACAACATTAGCCCGATAACAACGTTTGTTTCTATTTAAGCGGCGTTAGGGTACCGGTATTTTCATTTTTTTAAATTTCCTTTAGCCAACTATGCATGTGCCAGTAATCCATGTCGGCATGGGACGTGTCGTGAGTACCATACGCACTACAGTTGCACCTGTCAGGCCGGATGGCAAGGAACAACATGTAACATAGGTAAGCACATGCTTACAAATCTTACTACTGTCATTCTCACACATAAGTGTAGTTTAATAACTTCAATTTTCACCTAATTACTTTATTACTAACTATATGTTTATGTATTCTTTGTTGAAGTTGTAAACTGCGGGCATCCTGGATCTCTTACAAATGGCAGTGTGATAGGCAACAGATTCCAATACGGTGATACAGTGCACTTCACCTGCGAGACAGACTACGTTCTTGTCGGTCAGTCCTCAGCTCAGTGCCAGGGAAATGGTCAATGGTCGGCATCAAAACCACGGTGTCTCTGTACGTATATACTAGGTGTTTTATGCATGCACAATAAACAGTGAGAAAAGCGACAACTCAATCTCCAAATAACTTTGTCAATTGTCTGTTGTATAACGTTATGTCTTGCTTTCCAAATGATATAGTTCATATTTCACTTGCTGTAAAAATACATTGTGAATATAGATGTCACACTGTTATATATACATAATACTGACGTTTTAATTAGGTTTAGTGCTATCACTTTGACTGTTTTTCCTGATACAGTCGGCAACACGTGCCAAAGCAACCCTTGTCAAAATGGGGGGACTTGCATAAACAGTGTCGAGCAGCACGAGTGTGTCTGCAGGGAAGGATGGTCGGGAGAAAGATGCGAAACAGGTATGGGTTGTTTCGGGACTACAGAGGCATTGTTGATAAACGCCGGCATCACATTTTATTTATTAGTTGTATGTTATTACAAACCGCTTTATTAGCATCGATGTTTTGGCGAGAAATTACTGATGTATGTCAGGTCGATGGGAATTTTTTGTATCTACCATTAAATCTGCTGTGCATTATCTGGTGATGAACAAATAACGTTTTTCTCATATGCTTAATTTTCTCATTTTCCTTAAAACACTGGTGGCAGACAAAGCTCCCTTTAAAATTCATTTTTTTTCTATTATTCTATTTTACAGAAAAAAAATTGAATGTGTTTTTGGCAAAATCTTTTTTCTCAATTGTAAAATAGTGAGAATGAAATGAATTAATATAACATGGTTTCTATTCGCTACATAGTACAATTATTGTATATGCCTTGTAACAGATGAATCTTTATGTACAGCCCCAATTATTTCTGCACTAATTTTATATGCCCATGACTTTTAACTATGCCTCTTTGCAGACATATCACCACCACGTGTTGAGTTTTGCCCAACTGACAAGAACATTACGGCTGTTGACACTCGCGAAACAGTCGTTTGGCAATCACCAGTCTTCAGTGACTTTAGGAACGAGACCGTTCATGTAACCTCTAACTACCCCAGCAACGTAGAGACCTTTCCGTGGGGACAGTACGATGTCCAGTACACCGCGACCAAGCCTTTCAACGGCCTGAGATCTTCTTGCGAGTTTACAGTACGCGTTTATCGTAAGTAACACCCAATCTCATTAAGCACTTCAGGAGTTACAGAATTTTATCGCGACGTGACGTAATTATCATTAATTTAGCACAAGTTAAACGATGTGAACGCTTTAATTGTTGTTTTTGAATCCATTAAAATTAATTTTCATATCACTTAAAAGTGTCTACGAACATTTTTCTAGTCTATAAAGCATTTACTCAGCATTTTTATTTACTAAGTATTACAGGGTAATTTTTACAACGTTTGTTGGTGCTTTTATGCATAATATTTCAATCCGTTTAATGAAATATATTTTTTTCTCGTAGCCCGTCAATGCCCACCGTTGGCTCCCCCTGTCCATGGGGCCTTGGCTTGTAACGGCTGGATCACGCGGCTGGGCCGTGTGTGTAAAACCTTCTGTCAGCAAGGCTGGACCCTTCCTAGGGGACAAGAGGACAAGTTGAATCAGCTATACGCGTGTGGGGCCCATGGAGCATGGATTCCTGCTTCGACCATAGATTGTTCCGGTAATTTTATTCCTTCCCTAATGATAATGTTGGTAATTGGTCAATTAATTATCAAAAATGCTACTTTCTTGTTTGCTATTGACATGATTTCATATCAGACTGTTATTGATGTACTATTTTACTTCTTTCAACACATGCAATCGTACTTTTCCACTACAGAACATTTGTTTGCCACACATTTAGGACCATTCCAAGACATTGCCCCCAAAACCAGCCAAACGGCGTGAGGGGAGGGGGTGGAGGTCGAAATAAGACTGGCCAAAAAGTAACGGACCTCTCAGAAGTCTTTCGAACCACAACCTACATTTCTGCGTATCTGCTCCTAAACATGAGGGGGGCGCCAAGTATTCGGCTATGTGTGACAAGGGCTTTAAGATCGAGTTCACGTATTTAAAAACTATATCCCGTCTATAGTTTCAAAATGGTTTTGAAATTGTGTGGAAAAATATCTCCTGCAGCAGAGTTCTGTTGCAGCGTGAATAAAGCAGGGACAATACGTTCTGCTCACGTCCTAAGACCTATTCATCACCTTCCTCTGACCTGGCCATGTCCGGCTAGCGTTTAGGAGCAGTCTGATCAGATTTAGGCCGAGCGTACCTTTCTACACGAATTTAAATTAACCCACCCCGCCCCACAACAGAAAAATCTCGCTTACTCCTGAAAATTCGGCTGGCGTTCTGCTGATTTATAGCCAGACACCAGCAAACAGCCAAACCTTCCGACCGACCACGAAAAGTAGGTCATTTTAGGTACCAAAAAGTACGTGACCAAACGCTGACTTTGCTTCGACTTTGTCCTTACTATGGATGAGAACGTTCGGCTAGTGTCTGGAAGGCCAAATTTGTGAATGTTCGAGAGGCCAGGCACGGTGGTCAAATTTGGGCCGAATTGTAACTTTTTTCTAACCGAATCATGTTCGATATGTCGTCATTCGAACCAAACGTTCGTTCGATCCGGAGAGGCCCGCGGTCATGTACAGTAAACCCGCGGCTTCAAGCCCGTTTTTACACGGGAACCGCCTAACAGCAATAATACACCTTTTCATAAATAGAAACCCATTTCGGGACAGTATATCTATGCCCTGGTTTATAGTGGATATGTAACATGTAACGAAGCTACTGCCGTTATCGTGTGTGACCTTGAAGATCGTAATTGTTGTTTACGCGGATATATGTTACCCCCCTGGACTTACTCACTTACTCGGCTTTACATGCGTGCAAACATGGTTTTTCAATCATAACCAAAAATTAAATTCACCTAGAAAAAGTTTTATTAAATTAGGCCATGTTGATTTGATTATATGGATGACATCCGCGCGCGCATGAATTTTCGGCCGTTTCCAA